AAACACCGGTGGAACACATCAAGCGATTTGTGGACGCGTATGTGGTTTTGCTTAAGAAAAAGTTTAGGTATGTGCTCGGAATAGGGTGTGAATTTGTGGGCTAACGGTGCGCTTATGTATGTTATTTTAGGGATCATTTGCCAAAACTGATTACATTAGAGCTGATGGACGCCACCAAAGACTTCATCACAATGTCGTTGAGAGTCTGCATCCGAGACCACATCCACACCATTGACGACATCTGTGGTGAGGATCCGGACGAAGACCTGAGAAATGATTTGCAGAATCGACTCAAACATTACTCCGAAGCCATCGACATATTGAACGTCTATCGGGAGGACTGGAGTGTCTGAGCCTACGGGCTATACAAAACACAATTTATTATTATTTTTGAATAAGTTTTATATTATATAAAAATATTTATGAATTAATTTGTCGACTGATTATTTATAATAATCTATAAAAAACGCATGCTTGTCCTTTCAGATGCCTTTCCACTGTATTTATAATTTAGTCACTTTTTATGATTTCTTAATTTACTATTCTTTATGTGAAATGATTTCTTAATTCAATTGTTTGATAAGTTTGTATAACATAAAAATAAAACAAGTTTCTACTTACGGTATAAAACTTTTGCTTTTGTTTTATTGGTCGTATAAATAGACTTTCATTTTATTAGAGTACAACATTTGATTATAAGTCCTTAACATTATTTATTTGAACTTTTCAAATTATATTATGACTATTTCATTGTCAAATCATTTAAACAATCAGTTTAATGTTGACTACTCCAGAATATTCATTTATGGTTTATTTATACCCTTACAATTATTAGTCTAATAACAAGGTTTAGGTCAAATAAGTAGCCAGGGTTACTGATTTGGAAGTGCAACTCACGAGTTCAGTATTGAGTCTTGTTTGGTACACACCTATTGTGATGAGTACTATAACGTGATAACAATGACATTTAATTACTAGTTTTTATCACACACTAAACTAAACTAATATAAAATATAATTATATAAAACACGGGATTATTATACGTTTAGTGCTATAAATTTATAAATCAATTAATTAATGAGAAACAACGAATATGAATTGTAGTTTAAAATTACATCAATTCAATATTCACCAGAATCAATATATTAAAATTTTAAATATATTTATTTATTTATTACTTACAACATATTAATTCTAACATGTAATTGTTCATTATAAACTGGATTAAAATTTATATTATTAAAATATGATTATAAAAATCTGGCAAATGATAATAGAAGACCCTGGATATTCATAGCCGTAAGTACAGGCTGTACTTCCCTAATATGGCTAACAGTTCTTAAGAAATCTCAAAGATTTTACTATTATTAAAATATGATTATAAAAATCTGGCAAATGATAATAGAAGACCCTGGATATTCATAGCCGTAAGTACAGGCTGTACTTCCCTAATATGGCTAACAGTTCTTAAGAAATCTCAAAGATTTTACTAATTATAAAATGTAATAAAGTTTTATTTGATAAAATAATAGCTCACTTCATATTACTGACTTCATATTACATGATTTCAAACACTAATGTATAAAAATAAGTTGAAAATAATATTCTTATTAAAATTGTTCAATTATTGTGTGTTGTCAAAATATTGTTATATTTATTTTTAACAATTACCTACACACAATTATAATTAATTAAAATGGGTATAAGCGTTAGATCCATATTGGGATCCATGAGAAGTGAATGGGATAAATATTTTTACACCGTATACCTCATATTCACAACACTGGCCTATGTAAGTTAGCATACAGTATTTGTCTAAAAATTTAGTAAATGAATTTTAAAAATACATTAATTTCAATGATATGAAAGGGAATCATATTTTCACTCTTTCCAAATATTATGGTTGACATGAAATTTATAATGGAGACTGATGACTTTATGATATCACTGTACCAGACACTGGAACAGGTCGGTTATATTCTGGGAACATTTAGTAAGTATCATTAGTTTTTATTTACAATACATAAACATAATTATAAATATACTTAAATTATTACAACATAGTCTATGTAACTTATTATGTTACATAAATTATATATTATAATCAAACCTTTAATAAAATTTAAAAGATTTATAAAAAAATTCACTTAATTAGTGGGTCTGACCTACAAGTACCTGAACCGACAACTAGTAATGGGTAGTTGTTTCACAATACTAACCGTCACTATATCGGTGCTGCCGATAATACCGAACCTACCGGTGCTGTACGTGTGTGCCGTCATAAACGGGTTCTGTTCGAGTGTCATAATGTGTTCATACACTGTGTGGACAATTGAGATGTGGGGCAGTCATGCGGCGCCTGTGCTTTATATCGAGGACTTCTCGTACGGAATCGGCTCTACCATCGCCTCAGCCGTACTCAAGCCGTTCGTCGTGGGAGACCTCACCGACAAGAATACCAATGAGACCACAACCACTACATCACTGGCACCGGCATATGGTCTCAACGATATGATATACTATTCCGCACAAAATAATGATGATATTGATAGGCGAGCCATACTTAGCCACCCATTCATGATAATTGGTATTTGTGCCATACCAGGTCAGTCAGTAGTTTTGTATTTTGAAATAGCTATTTTTTACATTCTGGTAGATTATTAAGTAAAACTATCAAATTAATACCTGTATATTATTGACATGGTAGTCAATTATACAAACTGTACTATTTTCTCGTTAGGATAATCTAACATTTAATTTCTTATAAATTTATTTACAGTATACTGTAAATAAGATTCAAGTTTTATACATAATTTTTACTTTGAAATCTTGATTTAATATACTTTAAATAGTTTAACATATTAATTTAAAATACAAACTACAATAAGTGCAAATGTTTTAGCTAATAATTTATACCGTAATTAATACAACAATTTTGCAAATCCAGTTCCGATCGTATCGTTGGTAATGTATTTCATAAAAGCCTACAAACCGCCGGAATCGACACCTGTAGACAAACCACAAGAATCTCACGACGAGACACATATCGAAAAACTCTTTGACAGACAAAACACGCCGAGAAAGTGGATGCGCTGCCTATTTATCGCGTGGTTCACCACTTACGTCCTGTTCCACATGGAGTTCCTCAAGTACGGGGTCACTTACTTCCAGTACTCGCCGCTCGAGCTACCGGCGCCCGACGCCGTCCAGATCATGACAGTCGCCTCAGCCATATATACGGCGTTCACTGGTGTGAACGCCTTCCTCACGCCATGGCTTGGGATCAACGCTATACTGAGGTTTCATTACGGGCTGGTAGTCGTGGCAGCCTTTGTGCTCATTGGGGGTATGTATCACGTGGTGGCCCTATGGGTGGCCAGTGTTATCATGTTGTGGGGCTTCTCAGCCATGTTTGCCGGTTTGTGGGCCTTCACCGAGCAGTACATCACGATCACCAATCAGATGAGCACCCTGCTCATTATGGCCAGGGGTGTGTTCGCCCTATTTACACCGTTGATCCTGGGCAAATTTATTAAACCCTTTTCGCACGTATTCATTATCATTGAGTTCACGTATTTGTGGGCATCGATCGTGTTATTCATTATAATCGGTTATTATATTAGAAAATATAAGAGACTTACGGATGCCAATTGAGCATGTTGATTTTGATTTTTTATTATCTTAACTATACAGTGCAGTATTAATATATTAATTGTTAACATTTTATTTAGCACCGATAGAAATTAATAATTAATTTATGTTTTTGAGATGAATTTAATAATTTTTTTTAAATAAAAGCTTAATTATCTAGGTAGTAATTTTATTTTTTAAATTCAATACACTTTTAAAACATATATCACTGTAGACAATATTTGTAATAAACTTATAATAAACTATTATTTACTTAATTTAATTATTTGTGTGATTATTATTATTCAAGTGTTGTTCAATAACTTATTAAAACTTATTATGACTTTTTGTATCTCAAATAAGTTATTAAAATATAATCTTGATAAGTGATCATGGTACATAAAACTAAACCAGTTCGAAGTTTTGTTAATTAATTGATTAGAAGTGTTATTGAGTACATAACCAGTATATGTACTAAACATTTATGTTATTAATTATCAATTATACGAAAATATTATAAACAAAAGATTAAACAAAAATCACTATTTTATGAAAACTTTTAGTTTCAATGTATTTGTATGGCAGCGATAGTCCAATTAAAACGCATTTTTGAACTAATTTTTGCCTGATAATTATCTTATATTTAGTTTATAATGTCCAATAAATACATGTAGTTATACGTGTAAAGTAGTAGTCTTAAAACTGTTTAGACATATTTATTACGCTAAGCTGATATTTGTTACGAAAATTTAGTTTTCATAATAAGTTTATACAAAAAGCATTTTATTTATTTTATTTCATTGACAGTTGAGTTGTGTATTTGAAAAATTTTAATTATAATGTGTTGGTAGTGTCAATCATAATCAATACATCAGTTTTATGTGCCTAAAAATATTAATTTTACAATTCGTAAAACTTTTAATTAATTAATTAAAGTTGTAACAATTTTATGATGAAATTGATTTCAATATATTTGCCATTATGTCTAATCGTATTCTACATATCGACGACCAGACGTAAGTTTTTCACAAAATTTAAAAAAAAATAAATTTCTAGTCTAATTAAAAGTTTTCAATTAATAAATCAGCCTACTG